GCTTTCTGCAACAAATTTGCTCTAAAATGAGGTGTTTAAAATATTCTTATAGCATAGTTATACAACACCTTATAGGGCAAATTTTTAACTGTTGCATAAACGTTTATACAACTATTTTATACGGCATATTTGCAAGTTAGTCAAAATGGTTGTGTTGTGGCACCTATGCTAACGTTTATAAAACAAACCCGAGCCTTATTGCTTTGCTGTGAAATTTACTACATTAGCCAACAAATTGCTCCCAACGGAAGCACTTATACAACTGTTACATTATGCTAAATATGTTGGTAAACAACTTTACCATAACCTAACTTTCTGCTGTCACATTTTTGTTAAAATGCCATAACCAATGTTTTAAGACAAACAACGCATGCATATCGGTTCAAAAGGTTTTATCAACTGTTCAAACAGAAGATATAGATCTGGTACAAATTCTGGGTAAATCATTTGACTCTGTCGGTATTTCATTTCAGACATTTGTCAAATTGTTGTATAACACCTGCAGGCAACACCAAAATATCCGAATAACCTAAAGACAACATGGACGATGCCGTGATTGTACACAAGCACCCGCCATATTGGGCAAACATTTATTCCTCTATTTAATATTAAATAATTATGTTTTAGTTCGAAATTACAGATATAAAGTGATAAACATTAGTGTAATTGTGTCTAAATATAGGATTTGTGGAAGATTTAACGCAGATAAGTTCAGTTTTCCTTCTTAAAAATCTAGACATACTTTTGATCATTGTCAAAATATGAATCAAATACGAAGCCCGTAGAAATTGGGTAACTAATTTGCACGATAATCACAATAAAATTTGCTGCGCAAGTAATTCAATAGCCCTATATCAAAATGTAGAAGTTTATCATATACCTGTGTATGAAATTCACAATGGCCGATATAAACAGGATGACTGTAATGTGTTAGTTATATACTCTTCACTTCGTCTATACAATACATAGGAAATAGGTTGGTTGCAATGAAGTAGAATCACGTAAGAGAATAGTTGTATAGTTGACAAAAACTGCATCTTGCACTGACGCAAATGTCCTATAGCGGCTGCAAGAGGCTAACACTTTTGTTTTATAACTGTTACCTGCAGCCCTTATACAACCTCTTAAATGACTGAAGTGTCCTATTAGTTGTGCCCATTCCGCTTGTGTAGCTGTTCTAAGAGGGTTTTGCCAATGTTCTTACAGTATACAATGCTGTTTAAGGAATACTGTATAATCATTCTTGCAATTCTAATAGGAGTGATAATTGTTAGTTGGGTTATTTCCCTCTAAGTGGAAAATATCTGAAAATTCTTTAAGTAATTTGAACATATGTAGTTTGTTTTTCCTCTGGGTTCATGAGCTCTGAACGAATCTCTGAGAGACTAAATTTAACTTTTTCCGTATTAAAATTATGTAAATTACTATCCATTGGACTTGTAGACAAATCATAATCCGCGAGCTGTTCTACCTCTAATGGTTTTAATTCAGTAAGTTTTATATCACATTCATTAGGGTTTGCATTGGAACAAATGGCTTTCCTGTTCTTGACGGTCGTGACGCATTGTGGTATTTCTAAATTGTGAATTTTCCTATATGGAATGACTACGTCGCCATTTTGAACATTAGCTACATTGACTTGGATAATCTGTTCTGTTCTTGACTGTACTACAGTTACTACTTTCCTCATTATCCTTGGTTTTGTAAAAAATGAATTTTTACTGTAGTTTCAGGCACAATAAGTAAACCTTCATTCAAGTCTATGCGAGCTTGCAATAATTTTATGTTATCTAATCCTAACAAGCAATCAAAGTGGTTATGGAAATCAAATAAATAAAACTTCAATAAGTTACCACTTTTTGTATTAAAAATATGTGAGCAGGGTATAGTAGTACTCTAGTGCTCTACCGAACTTCCCTGTTTCGTGGAAATTTGGAAAGGGTCTTTAATTATGGATTTCTGAAAAAGTCTTTTAGCTATTTCTGGCCGGACAAATGATTGTGTACAAATATTACGTAAAATAGTCGCTCGAATAATAGGATTAAAATTATAATTTTGAAAATATATTTTTTTTGAGTCAGGATCCGAGTTACCAAGCATTTGAATTTAGAAAAATAAAAAATGTTTCCTCCAAATGACACAAAAGTACTCACAGCAAGACCACCTTCAGGCCCATACTCCAATGTGCCTTGGGAGTAAAGATTCTGCCTTCGATGTTCTATCGAATGACGTATTCTTGCTAGGTCCTCGATGTCGATCTTGGTCCTGACTGGGTGTCCTGACGGGTCTTACGCGACGACCGAAACTTTTAAAAGAATCGCCACGATTTGGGTTCGTAATATCAGGTTAATCGTATGACGCGAAGCGATTGACGACTACTTCTCGAACCGCCCTGGTATCCTACTGCAGGCTGCGCCAATTATGTTTCTTAACGCTGATTTGTACTTTTTAAAAACAATTTATTCGGTACACGTGATCGGTACAATGGCTGGATCAGACTAACTTGAAAATAATTTCATTAAAAATGTAAAAACCAAATGTGGCAATTGTTATAGATCGTACACAATGTGGAATGTGCTGAGTCTGCTGAATTGGTCGGGCAATGCTGCTAGGCTACTGAGTAACATATATATATATATATAACAAAAATAGGAAAATAATGGGCAAAATCCGCAAAAAGTGGATTCAAGCAGAAAATAGGATAGGTAACCCGAGCGATACGTATTTCTGCTGGTTGGCTTCATCAGGCCCAAAATGAATGCACATATGCAACTACAAAAGTAGATACACATGCCCACACATCCGGATACGGGTGTAACCTGATGAAACGAAGATGGAGAGGAAAAAAAGACACACGAAGTCCACAACAAGAGCCAACCTACACATTGTAGTATAAAATGGCTACAAGACCTAGAATTTTCAAGGCGACAAATAACCACAACCACGCGGCCGGTTATAGCCACTTGCTGTGGTACTTCAAGCCCAAAGGATCTACAAAGAGAACATTATCCTGCGGGGAAAGGTATATAACAAAAATAGCAAAATAATCGGCAAAATCCGCAAAAAGTGGATTTAAGCAGAAAATATGATAGGTAACCCGAGCGAATTTTTTCCTCTCCATCTTCGTTTCCTCAGGTTACTCCCGTATCCGGATGTGTGGGCATGTGTATCTACTTTTGTAGTTGCATATGTGCATTCATTTCGGGCCTGATGAAGCCAACCAGCAGAAATACGTATCGCTCGGGTTACCTATCCTATTTTCTGCTTGAATCCACTTTTTGCGGATTTTGCCCATTACGATCTTGACAACTCTGAGACCTTGACTAATTCGAATGAATGGTTTGGTTATACAGAAGTTTATAACTATTCAGATGGACAAATAACAATAGATTTTTCTAATCCGTTAGACGTAATCGAATATTGTAAAGAAGTTAGTGATAACTGTTATATTTTTCATATTGAGGATATTATTGGTGAACTAAAACATAGTTACGAAAGCATACAGGCAGTATCGAAGTTAATTACGACTGACCATTTGAACAGTGAGGAAGAACAAACTTTATTAAAAGTTTGCCATGAGTTTAGGGATATATTTTACAATAAAAATGAAAAGTTAACGTTCACTAATATCATTAAACATGAAATAAAAACTTCCGATGAAATTCAAGTACATACAAAAAATTATCGTTATCCTTTTGTTCACAAAAAGAAAGTTAAAAGACAAATAAATAAAATGTTAGATGATGGAATTATACGTCCTAGTCAAAGTCCTTATAGCTCACCTATCTGGATCGTTAGTAAGGAGACGGACGCTAGTGGGAAACAAAAATGGAGAATAGTGACAGATTTTCGAAAGCTTAACGAAAAAACAATAAGTGATCGATATCCATTACCTAATAATAACGATATATTGGACAAGTTAGGTAGATGTCAATACTTCAGTACTTTAGATTTAGCTTCCGGATTTCATCAAATAGAGATGCATCCAGATTCTATCGAAAAAAACCGCTTTTAGTGTAGAACATGGACATTACGAGTATACCCGCTCACCATACGGTTTGAAAAATCCTTCTAGTACATTTCAGAGAGTAGTTGACAATATTTTACACGGACTACAAGGCAAAGTTTGTCTAGTGTATATGGACGATATTATAATTTTTTCCACTAGTCTTGAAGAACATATTGCATATTTGAAATTAGTATTTTGGAGATTAAGGGACACACAATTCAAAATTCAACCAGACAAATGTGAATTTTTATGCAAAGAAGTTGAATATTTAGGACACGTAGTTACTTGTGATGGTGTAAAACCGAATCCCAAAAAGATACAAGCAAATAACACAATTCCCCATTCCAAAAACAGTTAAAGAAATCAAATCCTTCCTAGCTCTTTTAGGTTATTATAGACGCTTTATTGAAAATTTTGCCAAATTAATAACACCACTTACGAAATGTCTTAAGAAACGAGCAAAAATTGAACATACTACAGAATTTATAAAAGCCTTTGAAACTTGCAAAAATATTCTAACCAACGAACCTATTTTACAATACCCAGATTTTGAAAAGCCCTTTATTTTAACTACTGATGCGTCAAATTACGCAATAGGTTGTATTCTTAGCCAAGGAATAGTAGGACAATCGACCGATTGCCTATTCATCACGAACTCTAAATCCAGCAGAATGTAATTATAGTACAATAGAAAAAGAATTATTAGCAGTAGTATATGGTGTGAAATACTCCAAACCATATGTATGGCGACGTGAGTTTACCATAGTTAGCGACCACAAACCCCTCGAATATTTGTTTAACATGAAAGAACATAACTCCAGACTTTTACGTTGGAAACTGTTTCTTGAACAGTTCAACTACAAAATTCAATATAAACCTGGAAAAGCAAATAGCAATGTCGATGCTTTATCTCGCGTAGAACTCCATTCAAGATGAAACGGATCAATCAATAATTGCAAATCCTGGAGATTCTGATGAAGATATTCTTCAGTTTCTACAAGACGATGATAACCCCGAAATAAATATTGAAGACTTACAAGACCTAGAGGAATTTCTCACCCCTGAAGTTCCTGATAACTCTAACAAGATAAAAATAATTTAGGATATAAAAATTGATTAGCAAAATACTACCTTTTTATTTCAAAAACCACGCATATAAACTTTATTTTTCCAATTAGCTTTTTAGAGATGTTTCAGACAAATAGAGACAAAAAGAATTAATTTCTCATCATGAAACCAACACTTGTCACAGAGGAATTAACGAAACGTTACTTTCCCTTAAAAAACTATACCACTGGAGGAATATGCAAAAAATGGTAATAGAATACATAAATAATTGTGAGTAGCAAAGTATGACAGACATCCACCAAAAATAAAATTTTCACTGACACCAACGCCAAAGCAACCCCTAGAAGTCTTACATATGGACACTTTTCAAATTCCTAACACGAAATTTGTCAATGTTATTGGTTCATTTGCAAAATATGCACAAGCGTATCATTTACATCCAGTTTGTACAGCCACAACAGTGTATGAAAATATTTTGATATTTGTGAACCATCACGGCATTCCTCAGTCAATTACTACTAATAATGGAAGAGAATTAAATAATTCCTTATTTACAGAATTTTGTAAATTACACAAAATCCAGCTTCACTTTACTACACCATGTAATTCGAACAGCAACAGTCCCATAGAACGATTACATTCAACTCTCCTAGAACTCCTAAGAATTCTAAAAATCAAATTTCCAAAATTATGTCCAAAAGAACTAATGCAAAATGCAATTCTGGCATATGTCAATTCACAATGTTACAAAACAACGACCATTCGACCTTATAAATGGCCGCTTAGGTGTTGACCTATCGGATGAGGTCATTGTCAGCCAATTTATTGATGATAGACGTGAAAGACTAAAATTTATTTACAACCAAGTAACAGACGCTCATAAAAAGAATATTATAGAAAAGCGTAATGAAACTAGAGAGGATCCATCCAAATTTCCCCAAGGTTCAAAAGCATATGTCAAAGATAAAACCGCTTCTTGGAGTAAATTAAAACCACGATTCACAAAAAATGAAGTTAAGAAAGGTTTAGGTACCAAAGTACGGACTACAAATAAACGCAAAGGTTTAGGACACAAATCTCAAATTCAAAAACCTAAAGCTTATTCTTCTTTTCCGCAGGATCATGAATCTGGAAATCAAGAAGATTCCGATAGTCATTCTATATCTTCTACTAGTCACGACAATCAAAGCCAACAATGACGCAATTGTCACACCTTTAAAAGCCCCGCTTTTCGCTTATCCACTAGGTAACGCTAGTATTATAGAATCGTATCATACTTTTATTCACTTTGTAGAAACTACTTCATTAACAAGACAGATTACGAATATCCAAAATTACTACGAAAGACTTCAAAATACTCTCAAGCCTTTAAATGCTGATCATTCAGACTTGCATTTTGGATTATCAAATCTCCTTAAGCATACAGAATTTCTGATACAAGAAGCTACGAAAAAATTAGATAACATTGTTCCACGTATTCGTCAGAAACGAGGATTTATTAACCTCGTAGGAAAAACTTCAAAGTTCCTTTTTGGTACAAGGGACTCAGATGACGAAATCAAAATTAATAATGCACTTCATGAATTACAAAAGAACGCAAATTCTGTGCATAGTCAACTGAAACGAAACTTCAGACCTCACTCACTAAAGAATTGATAGATAATTACAATTCTACAATTTCATTATTAAGTTCTAATCAGGTACAGATCAAAACGAAATTGTATCATCTGCAAAATGCGATGAATGCAACTGTAGGAAGCTTGATAGTTTATCTTCACGCTGAAAATATTTTGCAGCAACTTAATTTAAATTGTCAAAATTTGATTACATTTTTAGATAATTTGGAGGTCGCTATAATGTTTTCAAAATTGAACACTTTACATAGTTCTATCATATCAGTTACAGATCTAGAGAAAAACATAAAGTATTTAGTAAAATTATATGGTAAAAAGAATGTACCCAACTTTCAAAATTTACAATCATACTATTTAGTAGCTGATCCACAAATTACATTTACTGATAATAAAATCTTGTTTTCTATAAGATTTCCTATATTATCTGATGAAAAATTCCAATTTTTCCCGTCTATACCCAGTTCCTATTAGAAATTCAACCATTATTCCAACCCATCCTTTTTGGCTCTTGGAACAAGTCATCAGCAATTTGAAGAAGAAGAATGCCCAGAAATTGTAAACGTCTACTTCTGCAAGAATCGACAAGAACCCATCCAAGGTTGTCTAAACGAGTTACTGAAGAAAGCAGAATTTTCAAAATGCCAATTCACAAGGTTACAAGTATCCAGTCCCATTGTTGAAGCGATATCAGCAAAACACATTTTGGTCATTCCCGCTGAATAGCTAATCACAGCAGTCAAGTTGTCTGGTACTCAACCACCACTTATTTTAGAAACGCCAAGTTTAGTCGAAATACCCGAAAATTGTGGAATACAAATCAACTCATCCAAGATTTGGAACATGGAAGATCAAGTCAAAGGAAACCCTTTGTTCCTTCCAGAAATAAAATTTTGGAATGCACGATCGAACTTTGTGTCCAAGAAAGCTTTGATCCTCGAGACTATTGACCTCGGCAAGAGATGCAAGAAAAAGCAAATTTTCTTCAAATGCAAGAAGAAGCCGCTATTGATCCCCTAATTTGGTTTTCTAGCAGCTCAGTTTCTACTATTTTTCTGCTTTTTACAGTAGCAGTAACCTTTTAGTATATTTGGAGAAAACATCCAGAAGAAAAACGATCTATCCCAAGACACGAAAGATGAAGAAAATCCCGAATCCAGTGAAGAAAGGCCCAAGAAAGATGCAAAAAGAAGAAAAACCCCTGAAAACAGAAAACGTTCCTATTCAGTTTTCAGACTAGGAGGGGAGGAGTTATGATGCAGACAGGGATGCACGTGGAAGAAGAAAATGCTTTTCCAGAGAATTCCTCGTTTGTTCATCATATTGTACATCTTATGTATTGTAAAATATTTCAAGTTAGCTCTGTAAAGTCAAATAAAATTTTTTTAACGGCCATCTCGGCAACATATATTATATATATATATATATATATAACCAAATGTAGGAAAATAATCGGCAAAATCCGCAAAAAGGAGGAAAGTGGATTCGAGCAGAAAATATTATAGGTATTCCGAGCGATACGTATTTCTGCTGGTTGGCTTCATCAGGCCCAAAATGAATGCACATATGGAACTACAAAAGCATATACACATGCCCACACATCCGGATACGAGTGTAACCTGAGGAAACGAAACACGACACGTCACACGAAGTCAACAACAAGAGTCAAGTGTCTGTGTAGGTTGAAAAAGATCACGCTGAGAAAGGTATATAACAAGAAGTGGGAAAATAATGGTCAATTTGTACTACAATGTGTACAATACGTATCGCTTGGGTAACCTACCCTATTTCCTGCTAGAGTCCACTTTCCCCCTTTTTGGGGATTTTGCCCACTATTTTCCTACTTTTTGTTATATACCTTTCTCCGCATGATCATTTTCTCTTTGTAGATCCTTTGGGCTTGAAGTACCACAGCAAGTGGCTATAACCGGCCGCGTGGTTGAGGTTAGATGTCTCCTTGAAAATTCGAGGTCTTCTAGCCATTTTATACTACAATGTGGACTTTGTGGGTAGTTTTTTTCACTCTCCATCTCCGTTTCCTCAGGTTACATCCGTATCCGGATGAGTGGGCACGTGTATTTGCTTTTGTAGTTCCATATGTGTATTCATTTCGCTCCTGATGAAGCCAACCAGCAGAAATACGTATCGCTCGGGTTACCTATCCCATTTTCTGCTCGAATCCACTTTCCCCCTTTTTGCGGATTTTGCCCATTATTTTCCTACTTTTTGTTATATACCGTCCCTTTAGATCAGAACTAGCCTATGTCCATTTTTGTCAAAATTGAGATTTTAGACTATATGATGCAGTAAGGTGTCGCCTATCAAGTGCAGTACTAATCTAAGTCCTAACGTTTATATTTTTCACGTACTCATTAAATTAAGAATAAGCCTATGTCCTGAAGCAAAATAATTGTTAGTGCAGAACTATCCTTTTTTAGAACAGAAATTCTATGTCCATATTTGGGTAAATAATTTTTAATGCAGAAGTATCCTTTGTTGGGACAGATTACCTATACTAGTGAATTGTGTGGACTTAAGCTAGTTCTACTTTGAAACAAAATTTTATGTCCAAGAAAATGTGGACTTAGGCTTATTCTGATCTATAATTTTAATAAACCCTCACATCTTTTAGTGGACATAAACTAGTTCTGCACTGTACTGGTTTCGACTTGTTAGAAATCTAGGCATTTCAAGGCGCCACCGTACACGAATAACGCAGATTACCTCAGTTTAAAGCAGTTCTTAGTGTATAGTGATCGAGTTTGCGCAACGTAAACAAATTAAATATGAGTTCTAGAAGGAAAAAAATTTTTGATCTTCTGGCCAGGCACTGTGATGGTAAGTAGTGCTTTTCTAGCTATACAAATATTCTTAAGTAACACGTTAACATTGGAAATACGTTTTTAGCTACTGGTTCAGGATAAATTCTATTTATTTTTTTAATTGTATAAATAAAAAAACAAATAATACGATCTACACTCATAAAACTCTGTACTGAATAATGTTTACTTTATTTTTTTATAGATACCAATCATGACAAACTAACAGTATCTGCAAGACCAGAAAAAATAGACGCCCAATATTTGATGAATACAGCAAATCTTATGCCGCCTGGTTATTTACTCTCTAAGGAAACGGCTGCTTTTAACAAGAGCGATAATGCATTTTGCAGTATGAACCTCGAAAATATAAAATCAGTTTTGAGTATTGAATCCAATAAAGTTACACCGATTGTGGCCGATAAAGGAGACGCAAATGCTAGTGAAGAAGTAAGAAGTGTTCTCGAAAAAATCATAGGTAAGCAAACTAACGAGTAAAAAGAATTAGTAATATTAAAAATCAAACACTTTACCAGTAAACAAGCAATTATACTCAAGGTACATGGTATACATCTTGCTTAGGA